TCCCTCACACAGTCTGAGTACATGCCTCACACAGTCTGAGTACATGCCTCACACAGTCTGAGTGCATCCCTCACACAGTCTGAGTGCATCCCTCACACAGTCTGAGTACATGCCTCACACAGTCTGAGTACATCCCTCACACAGTCTGAATATGTTACACACCCGAGTATGTTCCACTTGCAGGCTGAGTACATCCCACACACAGTCTCTCACTCAAAACACCGTCCTGTCAAGGCGGAGTCACGGCGATGCTCTACAACAGGGCAGAACTAACTTCCCTGGTGCGATTCTGAGACCGTCACTGTGAACAGGAGTAGAAAGTGCAGCTGATGGTTTCAAACTGCAGACCTTGGGGGATCACAGCCCATCTTGTAACCACTGCACCACCAGGGCTCTGTCTACAGGGCTCTTGCCCCCAAGCTGAGTCTGCCCCATGTACTGCGAGGGGTGAATTTCTGCTGTAAGCAGTTCCCCCTGCTGTTGAGGGGTTATTCCAAGGTGGCGGTCCTGTGGGAGCTCAGGGGCAGTCTGGTGCTGAGCCCCCTTGTCTGGGGTGGGGGAGACGGGTCTTGGGGCAGTGGGCAGTGTGGATCCATGCCAATCCTGACACCCCTTCTCTTTCTTTCTCTGTCTCTCTCTCTGCCTGCCAACCCCCAGTCCTGGTATCTGGGGTAACCAAGGTCTCCCCCGCGCCCCTCCGCCATCGCCCCTGGACTCCCGGAGGGCAGCCCAGCCGGCCCCCGGCCCACGTTCTCTGTGGGAAGTTAGAACGATCGAGAACACCACCCCGCTGCCTGGCCGCCGCAGGGCAGCTGACAAGAGACACACAGACCCGAGACTCAGAGGAGGGAGACTTTTAGCGAAGGAGAAGACCGTGGAACAGGACCAGAGAAGGCAAACAGGAACAAAAGCGGGAAAAGATTTTAAAGAAACAAACACCGACAACCCCGCCCGCCCACCCACCCCACCGAGAAGACGCGGCGAGGTGCAGGGGCCGGGCTGCTGACCGGGGACCCAGAAACAAGGCCGGGGGGGCTGGTGCCTGACTGACTCATCTCCGGGCTGCCTGCTGCTCTGAAGGACAGACACCCCACCAGGGCTCCCCCAGGCCCTGCCTGCCCAGAGACAGGTGAGCAAGCCCCGGCTGCCATTCAGCTGGTGCGGCCCCCACAAGGACGTCCACCCGGCCCCCCACCATGGGGTTTGCCAAAGAAGGGGGGCGGGCACACGTGGGCCACCCCAGTGAGGTGGCAGCCGGGGTGTTGGGCTCGGCCAGAGGCTGTCCCCCAAACCCCCCCCCTCCGCGTGCTCTTTTGGGACCCCGTCTTTCAGCCCTCGTGCCGTCCCCCCCATGGCGGGTTTGGGAGGAGAAGTCTCTATGCAATTAACCCCTGGCACCCCGACATCGGAGGCCCTCCTCCCCCTGCGCCCCGGAAGGGTCGTGTTGCACACAGCGGTGAGAAACGCACTTTCAAGGGGGTGCAGGGCCTGTAGGCCCAGAGCTCCTGGTTCTGTTGGGGAGGCGGGTATCGGGACACTCTGGCCTGGGTGGGGATGACCCCTCCCCCGGCCCGTGGGGTGGGGGGCAAGGAGCGAGTGGTTCTAAGTGCCTGATTCCTGCCGCCCGCCCCCCTGTCCAGCTAGGACCGAGTGGCCGCGGTGTCCTCCCCTTTCCCCTCTCCCTCTCCCCCCGCAGCCCAGTCACCTCCCGTCTGGGACCGCCCCCCATTGCTGTGCCCCCCACAAACCTGGAGATGGGACCCTGAGCGGGCCCAAGGGGCGGAGCTGAGGGTCCCCCAGCACCCTGCCCTGCAGGGCATAGGGGTCCTGGGGAAGCCGGTACCGCCCCCCCCCCCCCAGTGCCTTACAACCTGGAGTGACACCGTCCTGGTGCCCCCCAGCCCCCAGGGACCTCGGTTTGCACTTTCATCTTCCCGGGGGCTTCTGGGAACAGGCAGGATTGGGGTGGGCCTGGCTAGCCGGGAGAGGGGATCCGGCAGGGGAAGCGGGGTATGTGGGCTGAGGGTGCCATCCGCTAAGCAGTTCTCTGTTGAGCAGCTCCAAAAACACTAAGCTGGGGATACCCCAGGGGCCTGTCCCCAAGCCCCCCTAGGCTCGCCATTTAGGGCGGGGGGCCGGGGGAGAGGTCCACCATGTACCCCAGCCCCACTGACCTCCTGCACACCTGGCACTAAGGGGATCGCTCCCCCTTCTTGGGTCCAGGCCAAAGCCATCCCCAAGAACAGGCTGCCACCATCCCCATCTCCCATCCGCTCTCCAGACCCCCTCCCCCCTTGAGGCCCCCACCCCCGCCACGGAACCAACGCTCTTCTCCCAAACCAGCTCCAGGGGCCCAGCAAGCCCCCTGCCGGCCTCCAGGTTAGACACCTCAGGCCAGGAGCCCTCTGGCCATCCGTCCGCCCTCAGGGCCCCTCCAGCAGGTGGCCGCCCACTGGGGACCAAGGTGTGGGTCTGGGCAGCGGTGGGGGGGGGGGCGGCTCTTTGACCTGGAACCTTATGGTGTCGGGGCGAGGGATGGGGGGCTGCACTCTGGGGAGACCCAGTGGCTCCCCCTCCCCCGGGGACCGCAACGAGAACCATCTCTTTACCTAACTGCATGGTGCTTTGCAGAGACCTGGTGCTGCCCGGCTCCAGGGTGAGCCGGCAGCTGATGCGACATGCATGGCGATGACTGCGTAGCTCTGTCCCCCTCCCGCCCCCTGCCCCAGTCCTGTCCCTCCCTCCTCGTTTAAAAAAAAAAAAAAAAAGACAAGAAAAGCGGAAAAATCCTACAAAAAACCCCTCCCTGAAAAAACACAAAACAGCCCCCGTTCCCTGGTTTGCACGGAATTCTCTCTCACATGATGTGCCTTGCTTTTTCGAGAAGTATTAACTTTAACCAATATCACCGCACACGACTAGCTGCATGCCCTGCCTGTGTAGTTAACGAGAAGAAAACAAAACAAACAAACAAACGACAAGACAAAGGGAAAAAGACAAAACAGACATGACCGTGACATGGAATAAAAGCAAACATGGAAAGAGTCTTTCTATTTGTTTAGGGAAAGCGAGTCAGGTTTCCAAAACAGAAAACCATGCTCTTGACAGCAACTCCTCCCACCCCGCCCCCACCCCGGCTCGGTCCTGTCACCACCACCTGCTGCATTTGGGGGTGCTCTGGTGTGCACCTACTGCACCCCCCATGCCCCTGCCTCCTGGGCTCCAAAAGTTCATTGTGAGGACAGACCTCCGGTCACGGGGGCCACAGGCCAGCCCTCCCCCAATGCCGCATACCACCCCTTCCCCTGCCCTGGCGGTGCCTCCATGGGGTGATCTCCCAAGGGTGCCCATGAGCAGATGGCCAGATCCTCTGACCCCACTCCTCCGCGCAGGCTCAGGGTCACCTCACTGCCCCCCTCTCTCCTTCTTGCCAAAGCACCCACTTCTCCCATCTCCCACCGTCCTCCGCGCCCCGCCCTCGATGGGTCCTCCCCTGCCCCCCAACTCCCCCATTCTACGTCTTCCAGCTGTGAATGCCGAGGGTACTGTAGTGAAGAAACAAAAGCAAAACTCACAACCGATATATGCAATATCTGTCGTCTAAGTCTCATTCGTCACCGGGCCCGCAGCCGGGCGGCCGGAGTGCAGGCAGAGTCCCGGCTGAGAGGTGCTTGTCTCACTGCTGTTTCCTTTGGGGACAATGGCTTTTTCTCTGTCGTCGGCTTTAGCTCTGACTCCACCACACTAAGACCAGACAATTCTCCAAGCTCAGCAGGAAAGGAGGCGGGGGTGGGGGGGCACACACGCCCCCCCTCTCCCTCCCACCCCCACGCAGACCCTCTCATCATTGCCTGGGGGGACAGCAGGTGGACCTTCCTCCACGCTCATCCACAGCCCGATCAGGGCGGGACCCAGGCGTCAGGCCCAGCCATCCCCTCCCGTCTCTCTTCCATCTGGGGCCAGACAGCTCTGGCCAGCCCATGGGACAGACAGGTGGAGCGCGAGGGTGGGAGTGGAGGGTGCCCTCCGCCCTTGAGAATTGCCCCTTGGCCAGAGAGTCAGAGGTCAGGCCTGCATGGTGGCCGCATAACGGAGTTCCTCCTCGCCCTGCAGCCCCGGTTCCCCTCAGCCGAGGGGCCAGGAGCCCAGGGGAAGTTGGCTTGAGCCACCTGTCCCTCCTCAGCTCCACAGCCCATCCCCCGGGGCTCCGAGGGTCCCCACAGCTACAGTTCTCTTCCCCCAGCACCTTTCTCTGGTGGGTACGTGATGGAAGGCCCCCTCCGGCCAGCAGGGTTCCTGCCAGGACTGCCCTTGGAGGAAGCATCAGGGTGCCCCCCACCCCCTTTAAGACTCACTGATCCCCTGCTGCTAGCCCCAGGCCCTGGCTGGCTGAGGCCCTCACCTGGGAATAGTTGAGTGGTAGAGTGGTGGCGTTAGAGGGACATCGGATTCCCTCCTGCTCTTACCACCTTGTCCTTCAGCCCGCCACGCCGCGGCCCCTCCCCACCTCCCTGGAAGAACAGATAGGCCTATATCTATGGTGATTGCTCCCCTCTGGTTCCGATAGGGGTGCCCACCCACTAAGGTGGGACGGGCAGTCAGGCCAGGCCCAGTTGAAGCAGCTGGGGCCCTGTACTTAGCCAGGGGTTCTGAGCCCGGACCCCACCCTGGGCTAGACAATCAGATCAAACTGGAACTTCCCCACCCACCCCAAAGGGACCTGCAGGACCACTGCTGAGCAGACCAGGCGGCAGGACCAGAGACTGGTCCCCTCCACCACGTCTTGCCCACCCCGCCCCAAACAACACATGATTCCAACTCCTGACCCCACGGGACAGGCTGCCCCGCCCACACTACAGCGTCCCTGCAGGCAGCAGCGTGTCACCCCCGACTCTCGAAAACAGCACGCGGGACCCCCACCCATGCCCGCCCCCCAGCGGTACTTATGGCCTAGAGCTATGTACACATACGCCTCTATATCGTCTGGGGACGCAGTTCCCGTAAAACAGATTATGCAATTACTACGTTTTACTTCCGGCTGGACGGAGTCTCCTTTCTGAGACCCCAGTTGGTTTGGTCTTTTCCTGGAAGGGTGGTGGGAGGGAGGGTCCAGACACCCACCCACCCCAAATCCACCTTCATCAGCATCCTCCCTTCTGTCTCAGCTTATGCCCCCTCTTTGGACACTTCCTGAGAGGCCCTCCCCCAAAATGGGGGGCCCTCTCCATCTGCACGCATTTCTGAGCATGTGGGGGCCCTGGCGGACCCCCGAGACCCCTGGGCCAGGCGGGGAGGCAGCCCCCAGGCAGTGCCGGCAGGACTAGTTGCAGTGATACCAAAACAAATCTCGAGCGTGCCTCACTTGTGTCTGCTGGTTTGCCTTTGGGGTTCTGCGCCCCCCCCTCCCTGGGCGGCCCCCCAGGCTTCGCTCAGACACTCGGACAGGGAGAGCAGGCTGGATTCAGGAGGAAGAAGGCTCCAGGAGCAGAAAGTTAGGGGACCCTCCCCCAAGCTGCAGGCCGCCCCCCTCCAGCGTGCCCTCCAGTTTCCTGGCTGAAAGGGGTGGGCTTAGGGCCCTCGGCCCACAGAAAGGAAGACAGGTGGGCTCTTCCCTCCGGGGGACCCCTAAATCCTTGCTCCCCAAGCCCATCCCCACATTGTGGGTCCTAGCCAGGCTCCTGGAAACCAAAGTCTTTTTCAGGTCCAGGGGGCCTGGCCCCTTCCCCAGCTCCCCACACCGGAGCCAAGCAGGGGGTCCCAGGAGCTGGGCCCCAGGGGAGGAGCGAGAGAGAATTGAACATTTTCCTCTCCGGGTTTTTTGTCTCTCTAATTTTTTGGTTTATTTTTGGTGGTGCTGTTCATTTTCTTTGTCTCGGATTTTTTTTCCTTTCAGTTTTTTTTTGGTCTTTTTCTCCATTTATATTTTACCAATATTACGGGCATAGTTTATTCTGCATCTCGCTTTCTGCTTGCTGCACACACCAGACAAGACACTCATGCGCGCCACACACACAACACTGCACACACACTGCTCCACAAACCCATGTCTGGAGAAGGCTGGGGCTGGGTCTTCCACCCGCCCCGCCGCCTCCTGGCTCTGGTGGGCCGGGTGCGGGGCGTGGAGAGGCCCTGGGGTCCTCGGAGCCCGCCCGCCCGGCCCTGCCTCACGCCTGCTCTGGTCATAACCTTGTATATTACAGCACTCGTTGTCCGAGTCCGCGGACGCGCCGACCCAGCACCATTTACAGTGGCCCTGGCTGTTAACTGTTTGTTTGTTTCCCTATGCAAAAACAAAACAAAAAATAGGGGGTTCCATAAATATTCAATAAAAGGAAAAAAAAAAAAGAAAAATGTATAAAAATTAAACAAGCCCTGCTTCGACTCTTTCTGGCTGTTGTGGCTCCTTCTGCCTCCCCTCG